CTGTTGGATCCTACTGGCTAGTGTTTTGGTGAGAATTTTTGCATCCATATTCATCAGGGATATTGGTCTGTAATTCTCCTTTTTGATGGGGTCTTGTCTGGTTTTGGGATCAAGGTAATGCTGGCCTCGTAAAATGAGTTTGGAAGTTTTTCTTCCATTTCTATTTTTGGAACAGTTTCAGAAGGATAGGTATTAATTCTTCTTTAAATGTTTGGTAGAATTCCCCTGGGAAGCCATCTGGCCCTGGGCTCTTGTTTGTTGGCAGATTTTTGATGACTGCTTCAATTTCCTTAGTAGTTATGGGTCTGTTCAGGTTTTCTATTTCTTACTGGTTCAGTTTTGATAGTTTATACGTCTCTAGGAATGCAACCATTTCTTCCAGATTGTCTAATTTGCTGGCATATAGTTGCTCATAATATGTTCTTATAATTGTTTGTATTTCTTCGGTGTTGGTCATGATCTTTCCTCTTTCATTCATGATTTTATTTATTTGGGTCACTTCTTTTTGATAAATCTGGCCAAGGGTTTATCAATCTTATTAATTCTTTCAAAGAACCAGCTCCTAGTTTCATTGATCTGTTCTACTGTTCTTTTGGTTTCTATTTCATTGATTTCTGCTCTGATCTTTATTATTTCTCTTCTCCTGCTGGGTTTAGGCTTTATTTGCTGTTCTTTCTCCAGCTCCTTTAGGTGTAGGGTTAGGTTGTGTATTTGAGACCTTTCTTGTTTCTTGAGAAAGGCTTGTATTGTTATATAATTTCCTCTTAGGACCAACTTTGTTGCATCCCAACGATTTTGAACAGTTGTGTTTTCATTTTCATCGGTTTCCATGATTTGTTTTAATTCTTCTTTAATTTCCTGGTTGACCCATTCATTCTTTAGGAGGATGCTCTTTAGCCTCCATGTATTTGAGCTCTTTCCGACTTTCCTCTTGTGATTGAGTTCTAGTTTCAAAGCACTGTGGTCTGAAAATATGCAGGGAATGATCCCAATCTTTTGGTACTGGTTGAGACCTGATTTGTGACCTAGGATGTGATCTATTCTGGAGAATGTTCCATGGGCACTAGAGAAGAATGTGTATTCTGTTGCTTTGGGATGGAATGTTCTGAATATATCTGTGAAGTCCATTTGGTCCAGTGTGTCATTTAAAGCCTTTATTTCCTTGTTGATCTTTTGCTTGGATGATCTGTCCATTTCTGTGAGGGGGGTGTTAAAGTCCCCTACTATTATTGTATTGTCATTGATGTGTTTCTTTGCTTTTGTTATTAATTGCCTTATATAATTGGCTGCTCCCATGTTCGGGGCATAGATATTTACAATTGTTAGATCTTCTTGTTGGATAGACCCTTTAAGTAGGATATAGTGTCCTTCCTCATCTCTTATTATAGTCTTTGGTTTAAAATCTAATTTGTCTGATATAAGGATTGCCATCCCAGCTTTCTTTTGATGTCCATTAGAATGGTAAATGGTTTTCTAGCCCCTCACTTTCAATCTGGAGGTGTCTTTGGGTCTGAATGAGTCTCTTGCAGGCAGCATATTGGGTCTTGTTTTTTAATCCAATCTGATATCCTGTGTCTTTTGATTGGAGCATTTAGCTCATTTACAGTCATAGTAACTATGGAAAGATATGAATTTAGTACCACTGTATTTCCTGTAAGGTGTACTGTGTAAAGTTTCCTGTAAGGCTACTGTATATTGTTTCTATTCCTTTCTGGTCTATGTTACTTTTAGGCTCTCTCTTTGCTTAGAGGACCCCTTTCAATATTTCTTGTAGGGCTGGTTTCGTATTTGCAAATTCTTTTAGTTTTTGTTTGTCCTGGAAGCTTTTTATTTCTCCTTCTATTTTCAATGACAGCCTAGCTGGATATAGTATTCTTGGCTGCATATTTTTCTTGTTTCATGCTCTGAATATATCACACCAGTCCTTTCTGGCCTGCCAGGTCTCTGTGGATAGGTCTGCCAACCTAATGTTTCTACCATTGTAGGTTACAGACCTCTTGTCCCGAGCTGCTTTCAGGATTTTCTATTTGTCTCTGAGACTTGTAAGTTTTACTGTTAGATGTCAGGGTGTTGACCTATTTTTATTGATTTGGGGGGAGGTTCTCTGTGTCTCCTGGATTTTGATGCCTGTTTCCTTCTCCAAATTAGGGAAGTTCTCCACTATAATTTGCTCCAATATACCTTCTGCCCCTCTCTCTCTTTCTCCTTCTGGGACCCCAATTATTCTAATATTGTTTTGTCTTATGGTATCACTTATCTCTCGAATTCTGCTCTTGTGATCCAGTAGTTGTTTATCACTTTTTCTCAGCTTCTTTATTCTCCATCATTTGGTCTTCTATATCACTTATTCTCTCTTCTGCCTCATTTTTCCTAGCAGTTAGAGCCTCCATTTTTGATTGCACCTCATTAATAGCCTTTTTGATTTCGACTTGGTTAGATTTTAGTTCTTTTATTTCTCCAGGAAGGGATTCTCTGGTATCTTCCATGCTTTTTTCAAGCCCAGGTAGGATCTTTATAATCATCATTCTGAACTCCAGTTCCGACATCTTACTAATGTCCACATTGATTAGGTCCCTAGCGGTCAGTACTGCCTCTTGTTCTGATTTGAAGAGCTTTTTTTTTTAATATAGGTGGTTTTTGAGGTGAGTTTTTCTGTCTTGTCACTTTGTCTGGAGGAGAATAGATGAATGAGAGAACAAAATGCTAAAAGGGTAACAATGACCCCAGAAAAATATACACTAAACAAATCAGAAGAGACCCAAAACCAGGGGGAAAAGAAATGGAAAGAAAAAAGAAGAAGAAGAATATGATCAGGCTGGTGAATAGATCAGAGCTACACATTAGATTTTGGATGTATTTTGGTCTGTTAGAAGAAACTGCCTCCCAAAATTTTAAAGAAAGAAAAACTTATAAATGTACAAAAATAAGGGTAAATACAATGAAGGGATTGAATATGACTGTAAAGATGAAAATTATAAAAGATTTTATAAAAGGAATTGATAAGATAAGAAGTTGGTTGAAAAGAGAAGAAAAATTTTTCAAAAGGGTGGGAGAGGATGTGATCTGGCAGGAGACTAGAACAAAGCCATACACTAGAGATTTAGGGTATATTTTGGTCTGTTAGAAGAAACTGTATCCCAAAATTTTAAAGAGAGAAAAACTCATTTATATATGTATATATATAATACATATATATATACATATACATACAAACATAATACAAAAAATACATACATACAAAAAATAAGGTTAACTACAACAAATGGATAGAATTTGACTCTAAAAATGAAAATTAAAAAAGATTTTTAAAAAAGGAATTGATAAGATAAGATGTTCATTGAAAAAGGAAAAAGAAAAATTCAAAAAAAAACAGAAAAAGAAAAAATAAAGAAAATTTTAAAAATTAACTTTGATAGACTAAAGAATCATGGGGGGAAAAGCCATGAATTCTATGTCTGTATTCCCCTAGTGCTGGAGTTCTGCTGTTCTCATTGATCAGTAAACTTGGTCTTGGCTGGCTGTTCTTGCTGATCTTCTGGGGGAAGGGCCTGTTGCAGCAATTCTCAAATGTCTTTGCCCAAGACGGAATTGCACCGCCCTTGTCAGGGGCCAGGTTAGGTAATCTGCTCGGTTTGCTCTCAGTAGCTTTTGTTCCCTGCAAACTTTCCATACAGCTTTGGAGGATGAGAGTGAAAATGGCAGCCTCCCAATCTCTGCCCCAGAGGAGCTGAAAATTCGGGGCCCCACTCCTCAGTGAGCCCCCAGAGAAAAGCAGTCAATCACTCCTTTCTCCCTGGGCTCAGGCCACACTCCATGCTCACCTGGCCTGTGACCAAGCATTTCTATCTCTGGCACACGACCCTGTTTGGCCTCTCCAAACCCAGCAGATTCCTGGGGTGCAGTCCCGTACTGCTCCTCCCTGGGGGAGGAAGGGGAGTCTCCCCAGATCTGCCACTTGTTGGGTCCCTCCTCGAAAATTCGTGTCCTGACTGTGCCCCAGATCATGGTTTATGGCAACCCCAAACAGCATGTTCATGCCTCCCTGCTCTAAGAAAGCAGAAAAGGTCTTTTTTAATAACATGGTCAACTGCCTATGGCTCCAGGTTCCTTCTAGTACATGCAGAGTCACAGGTTTCAAAACTAAAAAGTGCTTACAGACCAAGAGCAGATTGTATCAGAGCTGGGATAATAGGCCAAGCCTCTCCCTTCCTAGGCCTCAGTTTATATATCTGTAAAATAAGGCCTTAAGACCAAATGATCTCTAGGGCCCTTTCCAGAGCTAGGATTCTGTGATATTTCTGATGGCCATATTCAGAACTTATTCTGCTCTGTCTGTGCTTCCCTTCAGATGGAATGATGAGACCTCTAGCCCAGCACCAGATAAAGCACCTATGACCTTGTTCTCCCACACCTTGGCACACCACACATCTCCACAACCATCCTTTATGTGTGCACCAGTCCCATGTAAGGAGAAAAAGTTCCAACACAAAAGCTGAGGAAAGCTTTTCTCCATGATCAGGATAAATCTCTGAACACTGACTAAGCATTATCTTACTGGACTTCAGAGAAATTTTGTATTCTATATCTTATGTGGACAAAAGACCCCCAAGAGCTTCTCACCTATCTTCCTGATGTCACTAGACTGACAATAGCTTAGGATCCATCTACTTTCAGTTCAGGCTCTTTTTCCTTCTCTCTGGTCATGCTCCATATCAAGTCAGCGTGGCAAATACGCCACTGATACTTACTGAGCACTGTGAACTATATGAGGTATAAGGAGGCGGGGGTGATTTTGCACCTCTCTCTTCCCCTTGACCTGGCCTCAGAGTGAACTTCCCAAAACCCATTTATCCATCTCATCCCCCACCTCACTCATTACTCCCTTCTAAAGAGAGATCTGAGCTTTGATGTAAGCATTTTGTAAAGACTTCAGTAAGGTGGTCTTTCTGTTGGAGGAGTAAATTTTTAGGGCTTGGAATAGACTCTGAATCACAAATCACCTATTTCAATGGTCTCCTCTGGGGTTTCTTGAATGTCCTCCTCTTCTGCATCCAAGTCAATACGCTCCTCTTTGCTGTTGCGCAGGCTCCAACACAGGCGGTAGAGCTGTGGGGAAAGCAAAACAGGTTGGCAGAAAGATCCAAATAGCATCTCATGCCAAGAAGTTGAGAGAAAAAAAGAGATGTGCATCACTTCCTGAAAGGTCTCAGTGGATGGCTAGTAAAGGCTCTAGAACACAGTGTGGCCAGTGTTTGCTGAATGAAACTCATTAAAAAATAAAAACAACAACAACAAAAAAAGAGGTACTGTGGCCTCTCAGTACCAACAAAAACATAGATAACAGTTTCCATCCACATTATCTCTAAATAAGTTGGGCACTTCAGTGTAAATTATACACATGAATATACAAGCCCTTATTATAATATTCAAAGACTAAGAGACTGCCTTGAATAAAGAAATGTCTGTCTTGAATGAATGAACTCTTCTTACATATGATAACTAAATTGTTTCTTTCAGCACTATTGCTAAGAATGAAGACTAAATGCCTATTTGTTCAGACCAGCAGTATAAGAGCAGAGATTTATACTATGTGTTTGTCACATTATAAGAAGATAATCTATAGAATCATGAGCCATATTAGAATAGAGTAGCACTACTACTGGGTATTTACCACAAAGATACAAATGTAGGGACCCGAAGGGGTACGTGCACCCCAATGTTTATAGCAGCAATGTCCACAATAGCCAAACTGTGGAAAGAGCCAAGATGTCCATTGACAGATGAATGGATAAAGAACATGTGGTAATATACCCAATGGAATATTATGCAGCCATCAAAAGGAATGAGATCTTGCCATTTGCAATGACGTGGGTGGAACTGGAGGGTCTTATGCTGAGTGAAATAAGTCAATCAGAGAAAGACATGTATCATATGACCTCACTGATATGAGGAATTCTTAATCTCAGGAAACAAACTGAGTGTTACTAGAGTGGTTGGGGGTGGGAGGGATGGGGTGGCTGCGTGATAGACATTGGGGAGGGTATGTGCTATGGTGAGCGCTGTGAATTGTGTAAGACTGTTGAATCACAGATCTGTACTTCTGAAACAAATAACGTAACATATTTTAAGAAAAAAGAAAAAGAAGAAGATAGCAGGAGAGGAAGAATGAAGGGGAGTAAGTCAGAGGGGGAGACGAACCATGAGAGACGATGGACTCTGAAAAACAAACTGAGGGTTCTAGAGGGGAGGAGGGTAGGGGGATGGGTTAGCCTGGTGATGGGTATTAAAGAGGGCACATTCTGCGTGGAGCACTGGGTGTTATGCACAAACAATGAATCATGGAACACTACATCAGAAACTAATGATGTAATGTATGGTGATTAACATAACAATAAAAAATTAAAAAAAAAAGAATAGAGTAGCACTAGAGACAGAGTTTCTATGGACATGGAACCAGAAACTTGAAGAAGTCTGAAAGTCAATGAAATGTATTCATTCCAACTATGCCCTCTTTGGTGACTACCTTGCTTTCTCTACTTCAAGAGGAATCATTGAGCTAATGTGTTTGGGACTGCAACACGTGCAAATGCTGAGACATCAGGAAGCAGTTAATACAACACGAAAAAGCCTACTGACAGATTCAGCCAAAAAACATAATGGTGGTTCTTCTGCTATAAAAGTAGTCTTTGTTTGACATTAAGATTAGTCACAGCTTTGAAAATTTGGCAATGAGGTTGAAGGTCTCTTAGGGATTCCATAAGTCCCTGTATTTGTGTGTGCGTGAGTAAAAAGTTAACAAAACCCTTTCTCAGACAAACTATGGAAAGAGGCCAGATGTCCATCGATAGATGAAAGGATAACGAAGATGTAGTCCATATATACAATGGAATATTACTCAGTCATCAAAAAAATTGAAATCTTAACCATTTGCAACAACATGGTTGGAACTAGAGGGTGTTATGCTAAGCGAAATAACTAATCAGAGAAAGACAATTATCATATGATCTCACTGATATGTGGAATTAAGAAACAAGGCAGAGGATCATAGGGGAAGAGAGGAAAAAATGAAACAAGATGAAACCAGAGAGGGAGACAACCCATAAGAGACTCTCAATCTTAGGAAACAAACAGGGTTGCTGGAGGCAAGGGGGTGGGGGAGTGGGGGAATGGGGTGATGGACATTGGAGAGGTATGTGTTGTAATGAGCGCTGGGTATTATATAAGATTGATGAATCACAGACCTGTACCCCTGAAACAAATAATACATTATATGTTAATTAATTGAATTTAAAATGTTTTTAAAAGACTAAAAGAAAAACCCTTTCTCTTTCTCTATGGACAAATATGATCTTGGGTTAACTCTAGCTCTGTTCTTTGGAAACCTGAAAAAGGTAAAGTATTAGCTGTGTGGATTGCCAGATTATACTGCTTATGGTAAAAATGGCCTATAATTGGAAATCTTCATCTGCATTTGGAGGGCTATGAATAAATCCTAAACCAAGGGTGACATCTAGAGTTAAAGAAGAGTAGTTGTCGTTTTTGGACTCTTGAATCAATTTGACTTTGATATTGTTTGAAATTTCTCGAATTATACGGGTAATTGTTTAGAGTGTTAGCTGGGGAAAAAATTAAGGGTATATCATACTTCAAATTTCCCTGAGTGTGGTGATTTTTGTAACTAAGTGTGTTCCTTGCTGGGACCCCTGGAAGTTATGCCATGGGACTACTAGAAGAAATCTAAGTTTCTATTTGAGACATGAGCATCTAAACCAGGCTAGCCCTTGTGCTCACTCATGTGATCCCATTCCCTTGCACCTGTGGTCACCTGGGGAGCAGGATCCAGAGACTAGCCCCTGGATTGAAATATGAGGACTCCAGCCAAAGACACACACTTGATACCGCCTTACTGGCACACTGTGTTTTCTGGTCTGTGTCTTTCTATGTAAAACCAATGGCAAGTATGGACTGTTTTAGTCATGTGAGTGTGAGTTGTCTAATTGAGCAAAGGGCAACAAGATGGGTGTTGCAGCATGAGCATGAAACAAGGGCAAGACACATTCTCCAAAAAGGATACTCACATGCACATCTGGAATTGGCTTGGTGAAGAGAGAGACGACCACAATGATGATGACAGAAATGACAAAGAGGATGATGGCAAAGTACAGGTAGTGAACGCCACAGATAATTGTGGGACAGTTGCTGGGCTGCATGCAGCTCCCAGTTCCATAGGCAAATTCAGCCACCATACGGGATATCCCGATCAGAAATCCTATGATCAGTCCCCAAAAGGCTCCCTGTGAAAGAAAACCCTGGGCTAATTAACACCAAACACACAAAACAGCTGGGCATTCCTGGGGTCAAAGGAATAAATATGAGACAAATGATAGCTTCAAGCCTTCTGAAGCCAGAACGCTGGCGTTCAGAATATGGCTAAGAGTGTGATGTCAGGCCCAAGCCTTCAGAAGGTGTGTTTATCATGTTTCAGTGACATGATTTTACCTGGGTCATAAAACAAGATTCATAATATAATGGGGTAACAGTGTCTAATACCCGGTGTCAAGTATCAACCCAAAGTCTTAATTCCAAAAATTAATTTTTAATTTTAAAAATAATTTTAATCTCCTCCCTGTAGCTACATTAGCCTCCAGATTTAGGCATATTCAGAGGTATTATAATTACTTGTGAAGTAATTTGTTTTCCTCGAAGACACTGAAAAACAAATTGGGTCTTTTGGGGATGGAAGAGAAAGAGATGTTTCCATCAAAATATAAATACTACTTTCTTCATTAGCCCCTTTTATAGATCCAAAGTCACTGTTTTTAATTTGAGAACATAAAATTATACTATGTGTCTTCACATTAAGTTTTGGGTTTGCATATTAGAAATATGGAAAGCCTTTAAGAGACTAAAAATACTGGGGTACAATTTTTCAGAGTTTTTTAACCCCTCCCTCCCTCCATTCCTTCCTTCCTTCCTTCCTTCCTTCCTTCCTTCCTTCCTTCCCCTCCTTCCTTACTTCCTTCTTGCTTCCTTTTGGTCAGTCCTCACCTAGAGAACCAGGTCTGAATATAGAGGCCACATTTTAAAAGGACCAGTGAAAAAGTACAGTGAGCTCACAGAAAGGTGAAAAAAGAGCCTTCCTTTCAAACGTTGATCGTTGAACTTTCCTAGCCATGGGTACCCCTGCACTTTATATGTCATGTGTATTTACGTCCTAGGTCTTTGCACAGGTCACTCTCTGTCTGAGAGAGCACAAGCTCTTCCCTTCCTCGTAACCTTTTTCTAGCTTAAACGTCCCTTCTCATCCTCCCAAGACAGAATTGAGCGGGCGCATCCTCCTCGCTCTGACTGCACCTTAGACACACCTCCATGCCAGTACTAATCCCACTGCTATGGAATCACTCACTCACTTCTCTGTCTCCCCCTCTGAACTGGGAATTTGCCCAGGGAAGAAACCAGGAATTATTCCCTTTGTGTTGCCAGTACCTAGCCCTATGTCTGGCATCTGGAAGTATCTGTTAGAAGATGATAGATGATAGATTAGATAGATAGATAGATAGATAGATAGATAGATAGATAGATAGATAGGGAAAAAGATGTTCCTCATTCATTCCCCATACACTTATTCATTCAAAAAATTACTTTTTTTTACTTTAGTTTGTATGAATAATATTGATAAAATCTGCTATAAAACTTTCCTTCTCTTTTGGTGTTTTGTGGTTTTTTCTTTTTTCTTTTTTTAAATTTAAATTCAATTAGCGGGATGCCTGGGTGGCTGTCAGTTAAGCATCTGCCTTTGGCTCAGGTCATGATCCAGGGGTCCTGGGATCAAGTCCCACATCAGGCTCCTTGCTCAGCAGGGAGCCTGCCTCTCCCTCTGCCTGCTCTGCCTGCCACTCTGCCTACTTGTGCTCTCTCTCTCCCTGACAAATAAATAAATAAAACCTTTAAATAAATAAATAAATATATTCAATTAACCAACACATAGCCCTTCTCTTTTGGCAATTAGCCTCCTCTTCTTGTTCCTTTAATCTTATTCTCAAGAGGCTCTTGAAAAATCTGGGAAATTTTGACATTTTCCTCAAGCCTTAGAGTCACCCCTCATCAAACACAATCCCTGGCCAGTCCTGAGAATCACTTTGCAGTCTCTAAGTGCTACTCTCCAGAGACTCTAGCAAGGGCTTCTCACCCTCAGCACTGTGACATTTGGGCTGGACAATTCTTCTGGGGATGGGCTTGGGGGGAGCTGTCTTGTGCACTGAAGAATGTTTAGCAGCATCCCTGGCCTCCGCCCACTAGATCCTAGTAGCATTTTCTGAATCAAAGCAATCAAAAATGTTGCCAGACATTGCCAAAAGTCCCTTGGGGGAAGGGCAAAATCACTCCCAATTGAGAACCACTCTATCCCAATTCTTAGCCTTATTTTTTGAATGTCACAGTCCTTTGTTGAAACGAATCTGTTTTTAAAGATTTTTTTTAATTTTTTTTATTTGACAGAGAGACAGCAAGAGAGGGGACACAAGCAGGGGGAGTGGGAGAGGGAGAAACAGGCTTCCCGCTGAGCAGGGAGCCCGATGCTGAACTCGATCCCAGGACCCCAAGATCATGACCTGAGCCGAAGGCAGATGCTTAACAACTGAGCCACCCAGGCACCCCGAACTGAATCTGTTTTTAGTCCACAGCAATACCCAGCTGGGCTTCTAGCCACACTTTACTAACTTTTAACTTAGAAATATCTCAGCTTCTGCTAATCTCTATTGAAATATATCCTAAGAGTGTACCCATTTCTCTAACCTGTCATGATCACTTGCAGGTTTAATTCTGATCTCTCAAGGGTATTTATCTGTGCATGCGGTTTTGTGTTACCAGCAAATCTGGACTATGTTCCTAACAGCAAATGTTGAATGGAGAGAAACACATGTAATTTTGCACTTCAAAGCTGGGTCATTCCAGTGAGGTATTTCCCAAGCATATTTTTGTTTTTGTCCTACTGGGAGAAAGGGGTTATCTCTAACCAAAAATATGTCATCATTTATACTGCTTCAGACAATAAGCTACATAGTCAGCACCCCCACTCCACCCCAGCCTTCCCTGGGTGTGTAGATGGTTTGATACAGAGCCAGGTGAGCAACACCCCAGTCAGAAGGCATATCCAAAGGCATCCTTTTCATGGTGGCTCAAAACCTTTAACAGCACCCCAATGAAAACCCAAACTCTTTAGCATGGTTTTCAAAGGAGCCATTCCTAATTTAACTTTAACCTGTCTTTCTAGCGTATCTTCCATTATCCATACACACAAACTCCCTCTTGAGCCAGGTGAGATGCCTTACAAGCCCCTCACCCTTACCCTTATCCTTGCACTTCTGCCTCCAAGTCCTGGTGCTGTTCTCTCTGCTTTGAATACCCTCTCTTCCCTCTCAGTTTCAGCCTCTGCTGATATAGCCTTTCTGTGAATCCCTTCTCATGTTCTGTACCACTCAATTATGATCTACTTTATGTTGTTTTGCATATAAACTGCTTGAGCCCTAGGACTTCATCCTTCACTGGGCCTTGAGAAGCGCTGGCCAGAAACCCAAGCTCACTGCAGAACCACTAGAGGGAGCCTGTGCTAGGACTTCCTCCGGAGGGGCTCACCCAGGGGTTACAAACTTCCTGGCTAGTGCCATGTTATCAGGTCAAAATCACCCAGATTGGATGGAAAACGTACATCATTAGTTGAGAATGAGTTTGGAACCTGTAGTAAAGAGGATAGGGAAATCCAAAAGAACGTGAACCCGGGAGAGTCTCTGAAGGCTTTCCCATACAAACCTTCAGTGGCACATGTATTCCCGCTCGAGATCTCTGGGAAACAGAATCCCTTCCATGAAGACTATGCAGCTCCAGGTGGGAATTTCTGTGTCAGAATGGCTTTTCAGGACATGCATAAATGATACCTACCGGCTCAGTGACTCTCTTCCAGAAAATAGCAAGCAGGAAGACAGCTGATATGGGTGGTCCCAAGTAACTGGTAATGGACTGGATGTAATCGAAGAGCTGCCCACTTTGTGCTGACTGCACAATGGGCACCCAGGCAATGCTGATGCCTATCAGCACCAGGATGAACAACCTGAAATCAAAGCCCCCCAGTATGGTGTCAATAAACGGCTCTATATGAATAAATATATATTACTATGTATCCGATGTGTTTGTGTGTGTATATATATATAACTAGCAAATACATATGCACATAAATGTATATATTTATGTGTGTGCATAATTTCATTTATTATAATTATATATACATGTTGTATGTGTGTGTAATATGACCACAACAAGGAAAAATAATTAGCAAATTCATTCTTGAGGGTTTTTTTCCTCTGTATTCTGCTTCTTTGAGAAAGTCATCTGTGCCTGTGAATAAGTGAAATGCACTTAACTAACCTAAACTAGTCACTGCCATAAGAGAATCACACTTTGACAAGTAGCAGAGTGTAGGAACAAAGGTATGGATTTGGGAGCCAAGCAGTCCTGGATTCAAATCTTTCTTTTCTCTATGTGACATAGGACACCTTGCTTAACCTCTCTGAGTCTCAATTTCTCTATATGCAAATTGGGAATAATATGACTGACCTTGCAATTTTGGAATAAGGATCAGCTATAGCAAAACACTTAACAAACAGTAGGTACTCAATAAATAGTAAAGGCCATAATTTTTATTTTCTTCTCCTCCTCCTCCTTCTCCTCTTCACTTCATAAAGTGAAAACTACAGCCAAAAAGAGTTTATAAAGGAACAGTCTAGTTAGAAAGGGACACTACCAAGTACATCCAGCTCTCCTCTTGAATTCTACTTCAAGTTTTGAAGAGATTGGAGGGTTCCCTTACAAGCTCCTCTTACTTGTGCTCTTGATTTAATTAGAAAGAAGGCTATGATTCCCTTACCTCACTTACATGAATTTAAGGCAAAAGAGTCTTAAACTAACCTTTGCAAAGCAGTGTTTGCACTCATATATTTCTCTCTCTGGAATGCCCTTCCCACTACCCCCCATTTACCCAAATCCTACCCACAATTTTGACCTCAGCTCAGGCCTCCCTCTTCCAGGAGCTTCCCCAACTACTGCATGCCATGTTCACCTCTCCCTTCTTTGACTCCTTGATTGCTCTTACAGTCCCCATAGCAAAGTTTGGGATTGTCTCCTGTAAGCTCATCTAGGGCAGGGATAAGCTCCAGGGCAGCAGTCATGGGATGCAAAAAAGTGTGAGCCCCAACAACCTCAGAGCCAAGGGGCCAGCCCTGAGCAAAGCAACAAAATGGTTCTCTTTTCATGTTGCATCTCGAGCCTTATAGATAACAGGGCGGGTGGGAAACAGTAAAGTCCTTTCTAAGGAAAAAAACAGTCAGGGTGATGGTGTTGCTTTCTGTGAAGCAAAGTAGTAGACTTGGGCCTGGTCAGATCTCCCCTGGGTGCCAGGTGGCTCATCACCTGACAATGGCCTGTCATTTTCCCTTTCCTTCCTTTGCCCTAATCTTATTGATGAGGCCTATGAGGTGGCAGTCCATACCCCTCCTGCACTCATTGTGAAATTTCTCTTGACTGACATCACAGGGACTTGATCCCCCTGCTCTGAGAAGTTGACCTGCCATAGCCCCACAAAGAGACATAGTAGAGTTTTAGTTAGTCCTCTATCCAAAGCATCTGTTCTATGGATAGTCAAGATTATGAGCACCTCTGACCCATGCATCAACGCTTCCGGCTTTCAGTATCCTGTTGTGTCCATTATCCCATTTGGCAATAACAAATGTATGTATAGCATGGTGTTTTAGACTTTACAGAGCATGTTCCCAAGCACAGTATCACTTGATCCTCACAATGGTCATGCAAAATGTTGTAGCAAAGGGTCGAGGCATCAGAGGCATCTGGGCCTTGAAGATGGCCCATGTGAAGACCTACAGTGTCGAGGGCTGAGGAGGCCCACATGGGGCAGTATAAAGGGCCTTGGACAAGGACTCACTTGGCCTGATTTCCAGTCCTGGTTCTGCCACTGTCCAGACTACCTGGATTTAGGCAAGAAGAGCCTCCTTTTGGGTGCCTGGGTGGCTCAGTCGGTTAAGCATCTGCCTTCAGCTCAGGTCATGATCCCAGAGTCCTGGGATCAAGCCCTGCATCGGGCTCCCTGCTTTGTGAGGAGTCTGCTTCTCCCTCTGCCTCCCTCTCTCTCCCTCTCATGAATAAAGAAAATCTTAAAAAAAAAAAAAAGACAAGCCTCCTTTTGCTTGTTGATAAACTGAGGGTTAGATTAGATGATTTCTGATGTCATATCTTACTCCAGACAGGCATTGTTTGAGATCTTCAATTTGAAGTTAAATGCCACTGAAGTGAAAATATAACTAGCCACAGAGGTTACTCCCATTCTAACCAAGCATCTACCAGTCTTCTCTACCTTGAGGGGTAAGCACAGATCATTCAGTCTTTCATGATGGGTGGCAAGGAGAAGCTGCACTTACCTTCCTGCAATCATGAGCTCTTTCTCAGATGCTCCCTTCCGGATCTTGGTATAGATGTCCATGGTGAAGAGGGTGCTGGCGCTATTGAAAATGGAGGTTAAGGAGCTCATGAGAGAGGCCAACATGACTGACAGCATCAGGCCTCGCAGTCCTGAAAGAGAAGGAGATTCTGAGTGGCACACACAGCAACTCAGCTCTTTTGTTTTTGTTTTTGTTTTGTTTTGTTTTTAATTTTGTTTTTCTTTTTTTAAGATTTTTTTTTTTTTTTCATGAGAGACACACAGAGAGAGAGAGAGGCAGAGGGAGAAGCAGGCTCCCAAGGAGCAGGGAGCCCGATGCGGGACTCGATCCCAGGACCCTGAGACCATGACCTGAGCCGAAGGCAGACGCTTAACCGTCTGAGCCACCCAGGCGCCCCTTTTGCACTTAGAAATTGTGAGAACTCAAGCTTTGTTTGCCTTCTGAAACCATGCCATGTTCTCCAACTTGTCTCTCCATAAAGACGAGATATTATATTGTAAGCCCAAAGCAGTCAACAGAGAGATAAGGACAAAATATATATGAGGTAAACACTTTGCAACTGAATGATGATGATGATGGTGGTAATGGTGGTTAATGGTGATGGTGGTGATGATGTGTGTGTGAGTCCATCTAAAAGGAGTTTTATAAGGTCTTTTACTTAAAAATTCATGGTATAGCAGAAAGATTAAAAGTAGGATTCAAAAGATGAGGTTCTCAAGAAAGTAAAAATTCCATAGAATGGAAGGAAATACTTGCAATTCATATATCTAATAAGGGTCTAGTATGCAGAATATATAAAGAACATGTATAACTGAATAATAAAAAAGACAAGTAATCCAATTAAAATGGGTAAAGAACTTGAATAGAAACTTCTCCAAAGAAGATAAACAAGTGGCTAATAATCACATGAAAAGATGCTCAACATCAGGGAGATTCAAACCAAAACTACAATAAAATACTACTTTGTATCCACTAGGGTGGCTATAATAAAAAAGAAGGAAGGAAGGAATGGAAGGAAGGAAAGAAGAGAGGGAGGGAGGGAGGGAGAGAGAGAGAGAGAGAGAGAGAGAGAAAGAAAGAGAGAGAGAGAGAGAGAAAGAAAGAAAGAAAGAAAGAAAGAAAGGAAGGAAGGAAGGAAGGAAGGAAGGAAGGAAGGAAGGAAGGAAGGAAGAAAATATAACAACAAGTGTGGGTGGAGATGTGGAGAAATAGGAACCCTCATACATTGTTAGCAGTAATGTAAAAGGGCACAGTCACTGTGGCAAATGGTCTAGCAGTTTCTCAAGTTAAACATGCAATTACCATATGATTATTAATTTCACTTCTAGGTATCTGCTCAAAAGAAATAGAAACATGTGTCCACATAAAAACTTGAACATGAGGGGCCCCTGGGTGGCTCAGTCGGTTGAGTGTCTGACTCTTGATTTCAGCTCAGGTGATGATCTCAGGGTCATGAGACTGAGTCCCAAACTGGGCTCCATGCTCAGTGGCAAGTCTGCTTAAGATTTTCTCTCTCCTTCTTCCTCTGCCCCTCCCCCACTCTCTCTCTCTCTAAAATAATCTTTAAATAAAACCTCGAACATGAATGTTCATAGTAGTATTATTTATAATAGCTGAAATAACACATGTCCATCAACTGATAAATGGATAAACAAAGTGTGATACACCCATGCAATGGACTACCATTTATCAGTAAAAAAGAATGAAGTACTAATGCATGCTACAATGTGGATAAACCTTGAAAACGTTCTGCTAAGTGAAAGAAGCCAGACACAAAGTACAACTATTGTATAATCTCATTTATGTTAAATGCTCAGAGCAAGCAAATCCGTAGAGACAGGGAATAGATCAATGGTTGCCTAGGGCTACGGGGGTTGGGTAAAATGTGGGATGACTGTTAATGGGTACAGGATTTCTTTTGGAGACGATAAAAATTTTCTAAAACTATGGTGATGGTTGCACACCTCTGAATATACTAACATACCATTGAATTGTATGCCTTAAGTGATAAATCATATGTATGTGAATTATAGCTCAATAAAGTTGTCACTGAAAAACAAAAGACAAGGCTGTATTTCCAAACTCCGACCCTAAGCAAGTTATGCTAACCTCTAGGCCTCATCTCTTGGTGTGTTGAACGGGGATAATACTACACCTGCCCAAATCAGAATAGGAATTGTCCTTTTAAAATTTCTCCCAATCAGGGGCGCCTTGGTGGCTCAGATGGTTAAGTGTGTCTGCCTTTGGCTCAGGTCATGATCCCAGGGTCCTGGGATCAAGCCCCGCATTGGGCTCCCTGCTTTGGCAGGGAGCCTGCTTCTCCCTCTCTTTCTACTGTTCCCCCTGCTTGTGCTCTCTCACTCTCCCTGTCAAATAAATAAGTAAAATCTAAATAAATAAATAAATAAAATTTCTCCCAATCATGGCCAGCATGGTTGGCTATAATCTCTATCACTACTTCCATACCAAGGACAGCATAAAGTTGTCCCTGCTAGGCTGGAAGGCCAGGTCATGCTGAGGGCCCACCATGGAGAGTACAGTCTTAGAAGTAAAAGTAACCTTAGTTGTCACCTAGGCTTACCATCCATTGGTAGAATCCCTTCTTCTGCCCAAATTCTCCAGCAACAGGAAATCCACAACTGCACAGGGGGTCTGCTCCCTCTTGGACAATCCTAACTAGGCTGATATCTGCCTCTTTATAGCCTCAGACACAGTCCGTAAGCTACCCAACAGAAGAGGTCTCACTGTTCACCTACTTTACCATTTTTCATATATTCAAAGATAATTCATGTCCTCTTGAACTCTCTCTTCTCCACACTAAAGATCCTCAGTTTCTTACAATATTCTTTATAATTGGGCTTGGGGGGCCCAAATATACAGAACTTGACATATTACCTCTATTAAACTTGAGCTTATTAGATTTGAGTCAACATTCCTGCCTGTTGAGATCTTTTTGGTACATGATTCTATCATTCCTCTAGGTTTTGTATCTGCAAATAATTTTATAGTTTTGTTTTCATCTTGCAAGAAGAAAAATAAAGGCTGCCAGCTTCAATTATTTTGTCATTTGTTTGGGGAGTTTTTTTTAAGATTTTATTTATTTATTAGAGAGACAGAGCAGAAGCAGTGGGAGTGGCAGGCAGGGGGAGAGAGAACCAGGACCCTGGGATCATGACCTGAGCCAAAAGCAGATGCTTAACCAACTGAGCCACCCAGGTGCCCCTGTTGGGAGTTTTTTAATGGTTCCTCCTGAGCTTGTAGCACATAAACCACAGGAGTTACAAAGATCCTCTAGTCCAATTCCCTCACTTTTCAGTTGACAAAACAAAGGTCCACTTCAAGGAGTTAGGAGGTAGGGCTTCGAGCCCTAGCTCTGCCATTTGTTCAGGGTTACTTTAGTTAATTGTAAAGCTGGGATAAAGCTCTCCCCTCTGTACTACACTCTTATCAAACTCTCTTATTCACTCAATAAATATTTGTTGAACATAATTTTACGGTGGCTCTGGCAAGAAATAACGGTATATCAATGCAGGGTGATAGAGGTAAAAAATAGAAAGAGATAGATGAATATAAGAGATATTTAGGAGGCAAAATGGACAGAATTTAGTGACAGATTGGTGGGGCAACATTTACCGACCAAGTGGAAGAGGCTGAATCTTCAAATGAGACAAAAAGGAGCAGCCTAAAGGATGGAGATAAAACAGACAAATAGGAGAGTATAGTATAATGGAATCCAAGAGAAGAGATAACGGAAGAAAGATGAGTGATCAATAAAGCTGAATGCTACTGAGTGGTCAGGTAAGATAAGGAATGGAAAATTTCTATTTAATCTAGCACAGGAAGTCACTGGAAAATTCAGTGTTTACAGAAGCCAGATTCTAGCTGAAGATGAGGGAATGGTAATGGTACATGTAAACACAGCATTTTGTTGTCTTGCAAGTCATGCATTTTCCCGTCATGTACAGTTCACTCTAGCACAGTGTTCAGAACTACAGTCTCACCCACAATCTGCCCTTCTAAAGAAACAACATAAACAGGGGCACTTGGATGGTTCTAGAGCATGCGACTCTTGATCTCGGGGTTGTGAGTTCAAGCCTCACATTGGGTGTAGAGATTACTTTAAAAAAAATTTTTTTTAGGGGAAAACCTGGGTGGCTCAGTCAGTTGATTTCTTAGTTTTGTCTCAGGTCATGATCTCAGGGTCCTGGGATCGAGCCCCGTGTCAGGCTCCACTCTCAGCAGGGAGTCTGCTTCAAGATTCTCTCCCTCCCCCTATGCCCCTCCCCCCACTCACTCATGCTCTCTCTCTCTCTTTCTAAAATAAATATGTAGGGACTCCTGGGTGGCTCAGTCAGTTAAGCATCTGCCTTCAGCTCAGGTCATGATCCCAGGGTCCTGGGATTGAGTCCCACATCGGGGGGGGGGGGTGGTCCTTGCTCAGCAGGGAGCCTGCTTCTCCCTCTGCCTGCTGTTCCCCCTGCTTGTGCTCTCTTTCTCTCTCTGACAAATAAATAAATCATTTTAAGAATAAAAAATAAAAATAAAATAAGTAAATCATTTCAAAAATGTTTTAAATCTTAAAAAAAGAGAAAGAGGAATAACATAAACACCCCCACATAGTTCAGTGTAATCCAAACCAGAACTCTAAAAGAACCAGCCATGTGACTCTTCTAATTGCAACCTTAATTAATAAGCAGCCCAGTTCAGTGGAATAGTTAACAATTACCCCCATTTTTATAGAATTTGAATGCAAATGGTTTGCCCAAGGTCACACATCCAGTTTGTGGTTTAAAAAAAAAAAAAAATTCTTCAGTTCCAGCCTTGAGCACAGTTATGCAAGCCAGACACTGAGTTACTATGTGGCCTTGGAAAAAAATCATTTTCCTTCTGTAGGTCTCAGTTTCCCTAACTATAAAATGAAGAGGTTTGACTAGATAGTCTCTAGGTTTCCTCTCAGTAATAAAATTTATAAGTTTATTATAAATTTTCCTGATCAATACCTTTGAATTTTTAGCCTCCTGAGACCCCCTAACCTAATGAGGTTTGCATCCCTTGATCCAGAATTAGATTTTTCTTCGACATGAAACATGAACAGTAGCCCTACAGGTCTAACCCAAAACTATTCTGGACTCCAAGTACTCAATCACCTAGGATAACACATTCTCTTTAGTGAGAAGCCCCCTTGTGGTCCATCCATCTACTGCCTCAAACTTCCTCATTCAATAGCTAAAACTGTTCTGCCTTTCCTCCTTGGAATATCAATTCATTCTCAAGGAAAAACTCCACTTAGTTTAAGCTTTCATGTTAATGTCTGTTGGAGAGCTCCAAAAGATCTTCTAGATGAGCATGGAAAAGTTGTTTTTTTCACTAGCACATTTTCAGATCACCTCTTTTCCACAATGGACTGATGGACACATGCTAGGTCTCATAGAGCTCAACCAAGTCATATGTCTCCTTTCCACTGAAGGAAGACATGTTCAAAAACTGAGGACACCCAGAGGGAAGCCTTCCCTACTGGGCCCCCAGGCTCCGAAATGGCTTTTCCCCAGAAGGCCACAGAAATCTACATAAAGTGGAAGCCAAATCAGCCTCCAAAGAAAGACTTTGCCAGGAAGATGACTCTCACCATTGGGCATGAGCTCCACCACCAAGGTCGGGTAAGCAATGTTGGTACAGCCAACCTCAGTACCGCAATATTTCTTACACTCCGAGGGGACAGTGCAGGCAATTTTTTCTGAGGAAAGATGAGAGCCATGTCAGCAAGCAGACATCAGGGAAATATTTCCAAGATTCACTTTCCTTTTTTTATTTAAATTCAATTAGCCAACATATAGTATATCATTAGTTTTTGATGCAGTGTTCAATGATTCATTAATTGTGTATAACACCCAGTGCTCATCAGATCACATGCCCTCCCCAATGACCATCACCCAGACCCCATCCCCCCACTCCCTCCCTTCCACAACCCTCAGTTTGTTTCCCGGAGTCCGGAGTGTCTCATAGTTTGTCTCCTTCTCTGATTTCTTCCCATTCAGGTGTCCCTCCCTTCCCCTATGGTCCTCTGCCCTATTCCCAAATTCCACATATGAGTAAAACCATATGATAATTGTCTTTTTCTGATTAACTAATTTTAATTGCACCAAAAACTATAAGATACCTAGGAATAAACCTAACAAAAGAGGTAAAGGATCTGTACTCTAGAAACTACAGAACCTTATGAAAGAAACTGAGGAAGACACAATGGGATGGAAAAACATTCCATGCTCCTGGATTAGAAGAATAAACATTGTTAAAATGTCTATGTGGCCCAGAGCAATCTACACATTCAATGCAATCCCTATCAAAATACCATTGACATTTTTCACAGAGCTGAAACAAACAATCCTAAAACTTGTATGGAACAAGATTCACTTTCTTAAAATAAGGCTTCAAACAGGACATTCCTGCCTAAGGCCCTGAATTGGTTCCACAGAGAGTGCAGCTCCAAGCTGAGCCCTTCCATGCCATGCCCCTGCCCTGCTGGTATGACCATCTCCAAGATCTGACTAGGAAGAAAAGGATTCTTAGGCAGAGGAGTGGGGGAAGCAAAGCAATGCTCAGGGCGGGAAGAGAAGGGGCACAGTCTTTAGACTTTAGCTAGGCCTCCCTACAGCTTAGCACTGACTACTGTCTTGTTTCTCCTGAAGATCATAGTGACTTGTGGCTCCTAATTTTGAGGTTTATTTGAAGCAGCTTTTTTGCAAGTAGGATTGAACTGAGGGAACTCCCCAGTGGGAGGGCTATCGGGTAGTACTTCCAAAATGTGAAAAATCTGGGGTACAGAAAGACAAGGAGTAGCCTGGGAGAGGAAGGGGAAATGATCTAAAGACTTGGACAAAATTCCAGTAACTTCTTTAGAATTAAATCAACAAACATTTATTGGGTACCTACTACAGATATATCATTTAGTGCTGCTCCTTAGAGTGCTGATTCATTATAGCACTATCTCAAATACTTTTATGTGTGTTATACCCATTAGAATATAAATTATTCAGTTAGGAATATTTTTCTCATGACAGGTGAGCCAGCATAGGAGTATAAAAGATCTAATAGGAATGCTAATAATAGCCAACGGCAGCAAGTGCCTCCAGACTGTCTTGTCTTCATTTTAGGAGCTCACCAAAGTTTCACTCCCTGGTGCTCTCTTTTTTGCCATTATTTCATATTCCAGGAAACAGTTTTGACCCATGATGGCTGACTGAAAAAAATGCAATGCTGGAGAAGTCACAAAAGGGTCAAAAAGACTCTATTACCCTAGATAGCAAAGTATAAGGCTCAGGGCTCTTCAAAGAAACAGGGCTCTGAGCATCAAGCAATTAGAGACTGGCCAGGGTCCTTTGACATTAAATTTTACACACTGAGGAAGGAAGACTGAGCAAAATGCTAGCAAATATTAGTTGGAAGAAGCTACAGCTGGAAGTGTATCATGACTTCAGAGAATTTACAAAAGGGGAGAAAGTAATTGTCATTGTAAGGAACCAGGGAAGACAACCCCACAGGTTCTGTGACCTCAAGTTGTTTGCTATATAAAGGGGGAACAATAATGCTTGGTAATTGTGGCAAGAAAAAAAAAGAGGAAGAGCAGGGAGCTATAGGGCTTTAGAAGTGACACAGAGCCAGAAAAGTGGGAGAGAGTGGCTGCTGAGTCCAGCAAAAGGGATCACCTGTGTACAGGATGCGGCTGATCATTCCTGGCATCACCATGAGGAACATGGGCAGCAGCTTCATGTACCCACACAGGATACAGCCGGCCTTCACATGAGACATGTTTTTGGCTGAGAGGCAGCGCTGCACAATGACCTGCCGGGGAAAGCCAGTAAGAGAGGGGTGCAGGCCAGAGACCTCTCAACGTCCTCTGGCTACCCTCAGCTCCCCTCCCACATGTTCTTGGTTCTTGGCCTACGAGCCCCTTGTCACTAAGGCTCAGTGACCCCAGACCATATGAGCTCAACCCTACCGTACCTAACACCACAAGCCGTAGACAGACAGGAGTCCCTGTAGAGACGTGGGGAATACCCCATCCACCCCACACATCCAGCATGGGTACCTGATCTGTGCACCAGTACCACAGGGAAAGGATGGACAACCCAAAGATGATCCCAGGCCATGGCAGGTCTCCTTTGAGGGGATCTCGGAAGATGTGAAAAGAGTCAGCTCTTGGTGTATAGCAGTCTTTGTTGATGGTGATGTTTCCATCAGTAATCACAGTTGGAATGGCGTTCATGTACTTTGTCATGAAGGCATCATACCCTCCCACTTTGTGGAAAGCTGGAAAACATTAGCAACAAACATCCTAAAACTCTCAACTCTTCATTCGGGTTTCTTCCTGTAGATGCCTGAGAAACCACCCTCACTGTGTGGTCTTGGGAAAGTCCCTTCCCTATTCTGGGCCTCAGCTCTCTCACCCATAGAGTGGGATTATTAACCCTGCCTAGCCTCCTGGGGTGGGGGGGCTCCTGTGAGGGTCTAAACCAATAACCTGTGAAAGTATTTTAACCATGAACCTTTTTAAAAAGGGAAAGTACTTGGGCACCTGGGTGGCTCAGTTGGTTAAGCGACTGCCTTCGGCTCAGGTCATGATCCTGGAGTCCAGGGATCGAGTCCCACATCGGGCTCCCTGCTCAGCAGGGAGTCTGCTTCTCCCTCTGCCCCTCTTCCCTCTCATGCTTTCTATCTCTCAGTCTCTCTCTCTCAAATAAATAAATAAAATCTTTAAAAAAAATAAAATAAAAAGGGAAAGTACTTGGACTTATTAAAAGAAAGACGTTGGTTTTAAAGATTCAAAGACGTTTCCCCCTCACCCTTTGCTGTCAGCAGCAGCCTTTAAAATCCCGCACAGAGACCTAGAGACCCACAGACTCAGCCATACCATCCCTGGTCACAACAATGTGGTAGGATGGACAGAGAAAGAAAGGGTAAGGAGTCTGGAGCCCAACAACCTCTTTGCTGTGTGTCCTTGAATAAGGCATTCTAGCTTCTGCCCTGCAGACCCCACCACCACTACCACCACCACTAGGGAAAAACAAATGGAAGCTCTTGGAAACAGAGAATAGAGAGGCTTCACAGGACACACAGAAAGTATGGGCCCTCTTAAAAATGCATTTTATATTCTCCCATAACAAGTACCTCCATATCTAGTGTCTCCAGTCTTGTCTTTAGGATTTTACAGACAAATAAAATTTCAAAATTGGGGTCAGGGGCCAACATAGACAAGCTAGTTTTTTAAATTTTGTCAAATAAGGACATAAACAAGAAAATGATCACTTACTATCATCAATTCATAAAATAAAGGACATTTAACATCAAATATAGGCAAGATGTAATCTGAGGTTTAAGATACAACATTGAATATATTTAGCCTGATGGATATTTAGATGTATTCCTTTTTTTGTCCAGTTTCTCTGTGGAGAGCAGGCTCAGCCTGAGATTTCTAGGGCTGAGGAAGGTGCCCCTGCACACCCACTGTGGCGGCCAATTCAGGCTGGACCACTCCCCTGGGGAGGGCAGAGGATACCCAGCTCACTGCCTGGGCCAGCAGCAGGCAGGGAGGTTAGACTTGATTTTTTTCTCCCTAGGCCTCTTCCTCTGCCTCCCTGCCTCCTCAGCCTGCCCCAGCCCCACTTACCAAACCCAGTCAGGATGAAAGACCCCACCAGCATGATCGCCGTCTGCAAAGTGTCGGTGTAAATCACAGCCGCCAGGCCCCCTAAACAGGCAAAGAAAATAATACATGTGACCTAATGTAGGAGGACCACCTGTCTGTGTGGTCCAGCCTACCTCCTTTGCCCAATCCCTGGCCCTCTCCCTCTGCACATCCTCTGAGAACACCCCTCAGTCACCTGTCTGCCTTTCCTTCCTTCCCTCCCTTGTCTTGTTATAGCAATCTATTACCGAACATGTTCCCACACCTCTACTTCTCACAGAAATGCTGGGAAGACCTTGGAAAAAGGAGAATGTTCCTCCCTATTTGAGAAGGAGGAGTTTGATGTGACTGAAGGCAGAAGATGGTGCAAAGGAGATGGCTGTGGTAAGAACTGTCTCCCACAAACAAAGGCACGGAAGAGCAAAGAGTTAACATCTCTACAAGATGTTCGGGTGTTACCAAATCTGCACATTTCGAAGGGCTACTTCCATGCACACCTGCTCTCTCTTTACTCAGACCATCTAAGTAACTTCTTGTCCCCAAAGCTGTATAACTTCTTGTCTCCAAATTCCATTGCTGACCCTGGCTCCCCTATCGGGAACAGAGTAACACCTCTGCAAAGGGGTCCCCAACTGTCCCTGTCATCAGCTTCTCCAGTCACCTCTCGAGTCTTCCTCTAAAATCTCTTTTTTGTGTCACTCCCTCCCTTCCCACCTACAGTGCCTTCCAGTGCCTATCACATCGAATCCAAGGCCTCCTTCTGGCTTCCAAGCCCCCTGCACTGTGACCTCTTTTGAACTATCAGGGCTTATCACTCCACACACACCTCAACTACCTCCCATTGACCACCCTTCTCCAGCCAAACGCATCTGCTTGCTCACCCTACCCCAGCCCCATGCCATGCCCATTCCTGACTCGATTCCCTTCCTCTCCCCATTCCTGCACCTGGTAGCCCCTCTCTGATTCTCCCAACTCAGCCAACTTCTATCCACAACCTGGAAGGCCAGTCCCTGCCCCACTTCCTAGAAGAAGCTACACTAACTATTCCAGCCAACACTGGAGTTTTCTGGGACTCCCATATCACTTGTTAGGGTCTGAGCTTTGGGACTAAGCACTCAATTCTAAAACTGTTTCCTAGGTGTATCTCTCCTCCTCGAGAGGAGCTTTGTCTCCTACTTCCTCCTCCTTTCCTGGGCTTCGGCTGAGTCATTTGTATGGACTCACCTGTGATTGTGTAAAGGCCAGTGATTGCCAATAAGAGAAAGATGGCCAGGTACAGATCCAGACCCATGGCCAAGTTGATAAATATGGCCCCAGAGAAGATGTCTGCCTGGAAGAAGAGAAGAAGCAGAGTTAGGGGTGAAGGAGGCCAGCTGACTGCAGGTTGCACCCAGGGCCTGGCTGAGGCACTTCAGCTGCAGAGACAAGGTGGCAAACTTGGAGTGGGTAGCAGAAGGCGTCTCCTGAGTAATGTCAATGCCTGTGATTTCTGGGCCCAATGTTGGCCCACACCCCCCTTGCCCTTTGGTTAAAATCCCCCAATTAAAAGTTCATATTTTTATCCCCGGGTAAGAATATGAAAGACAAGTACTGCACAATGCCACATATATGAAGTATCTAAAACACTCAAATTTGTATAATCAAAGACTAGAATGGTGATTACCAGGGGCTGAGGGGAGAAGGAAATGGGGAGTTATTAATCAACAGGCATAAAGTTTCAGTTAAGTAAGATGAGTAAGCTCTAGAGATCTGCCACACAACACTGTGCCTATAGTCAACAATAATGTATTTGACGCTTAAAATCTGTCAAAATTTTGATAGATGGCATGTTGAGTGTTCTTACCACAACAGAATAAAATAAAAACACAAACACCTCAGAGTCATGCTCTATTCCTAAGTTTCTCAACAAGCTTTATTCAAGATGATAATAGATATCCCATGGGGGGAAAAAAGGATTCCCTAGTCAGAGATCTGTGAAGTGCTGGATTAAGTGAAGTTAAGACAGTTTCCTCAACACACAACTTCCCTGAGCCTTTAATATATAGTATGTACTGTGAATCCCCAGGAGGGGAATGTGGTAAATGACGCTTCACAAACTTATTTAACTATAGAACTTTTGCCAAGGAATAACTATTAACACCTTGAGGTTCCTCCCAACCCACCTGTAGACTGCTGGTCTAAGCTATTTTCTATCATTTACACCTCAGTGTGCAAATGTTTATCAGATCTATTTCCAAAAGCAAGTACTAAAGAGTCCATGAGAGGGAAACCCCAACCATACTCCGGAGTGGAGAGAAACTTTAGCAACATCATAGTTTTATCTTCTCAGCCCAGATGGAGTCCACCTTGACTCAAACACAACCAGAACATCACCAATTATCTTTTGCATGGCAGGCTTGTTTCTAGGTGGCTTTGTCTAGATTATATCATGAAACTTTAGGGAGAAGTGTTCCCTCTTCCCTCCCAAATTCACCAGTTATGTTCTTGATGCAGTTCTCTTCCTCCTACCTGCCTCATTAGCCCCATAAAAAACAAAAAACAAAACAAAACAAAAAAAAACCTTCTACCTGGCAGGATGGTGCAGTGGCTAATTTAAACCAAACAGAGAGTACCAGAGTCACCCAAAATGAATTTTCATGGCAGTTCCAAAATACTACCAGGATGGGTAGTATTAAGGATGATCATGGTAAATCTTTTATTTTCAAATTGCTAGGTGTGAAAGAAACTAGACGTTCCCTAGATGCAATGCACGAGCTATTTCACTGCATAAAATCTAATATATTTCAGGGTGTGTAATGGGCCACCTAGTCATAACCCGGGGAATGGTGCCCTTGCATCTCCTCTCCAATCTTAGCTTCCCCACCGCCACCTCCTTACAGCTCCTTGGGGCCCTCCAGTGGCTCAGCTCCCCACCAGTCAAATCTCCTATTCCCTGCCGCTATTAGTTGGCAGAGAGATTGTCTCACACCAGCTCCAAGCTTATGTGCTAATGCACAACTCCCTCTCCCAAGATGGGTCTCCTAAGGATTGCTGCCTTAGCTCCCCTGCAGATTCCCTAGCCCCAGGGTACTTAATATCATTGTCTTTCCTGGTGGAGGAGGAGATGCAGTGTCAGAAGGTAAGGAGAGAATGGTGACTTAGAAAGAGACCATCCAAGGGCTAGTGGTCAGAGGACCTGGGTTTTAACACCAGTGCTGTGATTATAGGCCTGAGTGACCTTGGATAAAACATTTCACCTCTCCATGTCTCTGTGTTCTCATCTTTAAAGTAAGAAGCTCTGACTCTGAGTGCTTATCATTCTCAGTGGCTGGAAGTGGGGAAGTCCTGCAGCCAAAGAAAACATTCCCCTCCCAGGTCCTGGACCTGTTCCATCCTATCCTCTAAAGCCAAAGAAGAAGAAAGAGCCCCCAGCTGCACATCAGCCTTGCTAAGGGTGAAATGGCCAGTCCTTCCTGACTCTGCACACTGAGCCATTGGAATTGTGATGAGTATTCATAATGCTGGACCCTCTGCTCCCATGCCTTTTTATCATCACATAGTTATTTCAGTTGAAGGGGCCCCTTTATTGATTACACTTCTAACCTCAGGAGTAAATTCTGCCCTTAGAACTCTGAAAGCCAGCAGAAGTGCCACAGGATACTGTGCCATACCTATGCTCACATTAGCCCAGGTGCTCTGACATTAGTCTTTGAATCCTAGGGGCCAAAACTTTATCCGCTTCACTAAGGTTTTTTTTCCCGCCATATCCAGGGAATTTTATAGTTTACCAAATGTTTTCAGGTACATTCATTGTTTTGATCCCCAAAACAAGGTAATAGGACAAATATATTGTCTCTACTCTACAGATGAGAAAGACAAAATTAATGACAAGCTCAAGAGCTAAAATCGGTTCTTTGTCTCCAAGTCTAGTGACTTTCCAACAACACTAAAAGGTAAGAGTTCTCTTTTCTGGAATATTTTCTGCAGACAGCAAGATCTTTTATCATTAAAAAAACATTTTTTTACTTACTTCTAAAATAAAATAACTTATGGGTATAGTTGGAAAAAAGCAGCACAGAAAGGTATACACTGAAAAGTAAAAATGTTCCTACTTCCATCACTCAGATCAAAGGTGACCACTGTTAAGAGCTTTTGGTCCACCAGAGGATTTCTTTTTTTTTCTTTAAATTTTTATTGTTATGTTAATCACCATATATCACATCATTAGTTTTTGATGTAGTGTTCCAAGATTCATTGTTTGTGCATAACCCCCAGTGCTCCATGCAGAATGTGCCCTTTTTAATACCCATCACCAGGCTAACCCATCCTCCCACCCCCCTCCCCTCTAGAACCCTCAGTTTGTTTTTCAGAGTCCCTCGTCTCTCATGGTTCATCTCCCCCTCCAGTTTCCCCGCCTTCATTCTTCCCCTCCTGCTATCTTCTTCTTTTCTTTTTTTCTTAACATATATTGCATTATTTGTTTCAGAAGTACAGATCTGTTATTCAACAGTCTTGCACAATTCACAGTGCTCACCATAGCACATACCCTCCCCAATGTCTATTACCCAGCCACCCCAACCCTCCCACCCCCACCACTCCAGCAACCCTCAGTTTGTTTCCTGAGATTAAGAATTCCTCATATCAGTGAGGTCATATGATACATGTCTTTCTCTGATTGACTTATTTCGTTCAGCATAACACCCTCCAGTTCTATCCACGTCGTTGCAAATGGCAAGATCTCATTCCTTTTGATGGCTGCATAATATTCCATTGTATATATATATATATATATATATATATACCACATCTTCTTTGTCCATTCATCTGTCGGTGGACATCTCGGCTCTTTCCACAGTGTGGCTATTGTGGACATTGCTGCTATAAACATTGGGGTGCACGTACCCCTTCGGATCCCTACATTTGTATCTTTGTGGTAAATACCCAGTAGTGCAATTGCTGGATTGTATGGTAGCTCTATTTTCAACTGTTTGAGGAACCTCCATACTGTTTTTCAGAGTGGCTGCACCAGCTTGCATTCCCACCAACAGTGTAGGAGGGTTCCCCTTTCTCCACATCCCCGCCAACGTCTGTCATTTCCTGACTTGTTAATTTTAGCCATTCTGACTGGTGTGAGGTGGTATCTCATTGAGTTTTTGATTTGGATTTCCCTGATGCCAAGCGACGTTGAGCCCTTTTTCATGTGTCTGTTGGCCATTTTCCACCAGAGGATTTCTAAATGTCTTGCTGAAAATTATGTCAAATATTAAGTTCCACATCCCCTCAAAATAATAATTATGAAGATGGAAACATGGGAAAATGTATACAGTTTGATGCTAAGATGGGGAAGAAAGATGACAAAATGGTATGCACATACTGATTGCAATTCTGTAAAAGAAAACACACATACGGGCAAAGACACAATATGAAATATCTGAATTAGAGTCATAGGATTATGGGTGCTTTTCCACTCCAGATTTTCTTAAATACCATTGTTCCGTTTTTCTTATAAGTTTCAAAAGTGGGGGGAGCAGAAATTTTAAAACACATTATATTCTCTATTGATATATAAATATACATATATATGTAGTACAAATATAAAAACAGACAGAAGAAAACATACCAAGTTTAAGACATGTATAACTTTTAAGAACAGAGTCAAGAAAGGTAGAAATAGGGGTGCCTGGTCATGATCCCAGAGTCCTGGGATTGAGCCCCGGTTCGAGCTCCCTGCTCAGCAAGAAGTCTGCTTCTCCCTCTCCCTCTGCCCCTTCCCTCTGCTTGTGCGCTCTCTCCCTCTCTCTCAAATAAATAAATAAAATCTTTAAAAAAAAAAAAAACGGTAGAAATAAGCCTTCCATCATATTGTAATGTTTTATTTCTTTTCTTTAAAAAATGAGATTTTTTTAAGATCTATAGAATCTGGGTGGTGATATTTGCTATATTAGTCTTTGTACTTTTCTGTATGTTTGAAGCATTTTGTTATTTTTTTATTTATAAAAGTAGGGGAATGAATAGGGAAATACACCGCCAGCATTGATAGAAAAGAACTCTCCTATAATCCTATGAGACCATTTGGTTCACAGCTCTTACCAGATTGCTCCTTCTCTAAACTTCTCTTAGCCCTTAATAAAGAAAAAAAAAAGGGAAGGAAACAAGCAAATTTCCCCAATCACGCTAAGTAAAACCAACTTGAAATGAAATCGAAAATTACCATATTCTAGACCAAGGGTCAGCAAACTTTTTCTATAAAGTTTCAGGTAATAAATGTTTTAGGTTTTATACACCATATAGTCAGTCCAACCTGCTCAATTCTACAGTTGAAGCACGAAAGCAGCCATAGACAATACATCA